CTCATGCCTAGGAAGCTCTGTCTTCAGGTCATCGCCAGCACATACATTTATGGATTCACTGTGGGGCTGGCACATGCAGTGGCAACCTTCCACTTGTCTTTCTGTGGTGCTAATGTTGTCAACCACTTCTACTGTGATGATGTTCCCTTAATTGCTCTGGCTTGTTCTGACACTCATGTCAAAGAGCTGATGATGCTAATCACTGCTGGCTTCAACATACTCTGTTCTCTGGTGATTGTGGTTATTTCTTACGTCTTTATTGTTTTTGCCATCCTGAGGATTCATTCTGCTGAAGGAAGAAGGAAAGCCTTTTCCACTTGTGCATCCCACCTGACATCAATCACCATATTTTATGGGACGATCATTTTTATGTACCTGCAGCCCAAGTCAAGCCATTCTCTAAACACAGATAAAATTGCTTCTGTGTTTTATGTGGTAGTAATTCCCATGTTAAACCCACTGATCTACAGCTTAAGAAATCAGGAGGTTAAAAATGCCCTGAAGCGATTTACTCAAAAATTGTCTTTTATCATCCCTTATTCCAGAAATTCTAGGTAGTTGTCAGAAAATATTTTATTTTGTCTTATTTCAAGTGAAAATTCCGAGTGCTAGAATTCCAACATTAATGCTCACCTCTATGAGTCATTGGAATGGGACAGGTTCATGTATATGTTTATGTATGCTTACATGTGTGCTATATGTTTGTATGCATGTGTGCATGTATGTATATGTGTGTACTCATATGTTTATGTGTATGTTTGTGTATGTGTACATATATGTGTGCATGGTTGTGTGTTTGCTCAGTTTCATGTGTATATGTGTGCATTTATGCATGTATACATTTGTTTGTGTGTATGCAATGCTGAAATTGAGAGCCTTGCACATGATCTACAAGAGCTTTATTGGTGATCTACGTTCATTTCTGTCAAAATTTATCCTAACTTAAGTAGAGCTCATCTTCATTTTTAATTGTATGTACACATCATTTATAAAGTTTTATACATATTTGTATATAAGTCACATATCCACGAATATAGTATATAGAATTAGAGTCTATTTCTGAAGTGTGTATGTATTGAATACTTCAGCTTGCATTTCACTAGATCAACATCTTTAGTATTGTATTTCAACTTCACTATGTCGAGAATATGGAAGTATTAAGTTGGTAAGAGTTTTTAAAATATTTCTGGCTGTTTTTTAATTACCATGCTATCATATCAAGGATTTCTCTTGCCTGGTTTCTAGTAGTTGTGTAAGTATTTGTTGTGAAGTAGTTAGAAATTGTATTCTTCCCTTCAAAATAAACAAAGTAAAAACGTAAAAGAGTGTGCAAAGTTTTAAATGCTATATCAAGTGAACAATGTTCCTGCTACCCAAGAGTAAGGATCTTACTTCAAATCCTCATTGCTCACGCTAAAAACAACATCAGCATGTAACTATATCTGTTTAACTCCAGCACATAGAGATCAGATACAGGAGGTATCCTGTTATATTATACAGTGAGTGAACTAAGAATTTAGTGAGAGAATCAAGTTCAAAATATGAGATGACAAGTGAGAATATTATCCACTGTCTTCCTCTACATCCAAATATGCACATACATTCACATACATTGCATATTATTTTCACATAGTATTTTCAAATAATGCTTTAAGTTCCAATCAATAAACTATATAGTTCATTCATCAGCGGGAAGTGAAAGAAGCCAGTGTCATTATATTTAGCAAATATTTGATTGATAAAATATAATTTATTTTTAGTTTTCATATTTACAATGGAAAATACCCTGCCATATTTAGTGAATTCTTTTTCTTTATTGTTTCAGGATAATTGATTTAAATGGGTGCTTCAGTTAATATTTTCTTTTTTATTGGATATTTTGTTTACATTTCAGATGTTATTCCCTTACCCCATTTGCCCCCCGCCCATGAATCCCCTATCCCGTACCCCCTCCTCCTGCTTCTATGAGGATGTGCTCCCACCAAACCCCCAACTCCCACCTCCCCACCCTCAAACTCCCCCACACTAGGTGTCCAGCCTTCATGGGACCAAAGATCTCCTCTCCCACCTATGTCCAACACAGCCATCCTTCCCTACATATGCAGCTGGAGCCATGGGTCCCTCCCTAAGTGCTCCCAGGATGGTGGTTTAGACCCTGGGAGCTTTGGTTGGTTGGCATTGTTGCATTCCTCATGGGGCCGCAAACCCTTTCAGCTTCTTCAGTTTTCTCTCTAACTCCTCCATTGGGAACCCCTTGATCAGTTCAGTGGTTAGCTGTGAGCATCCTCCTCTGAATATGTCAGGCTCTGGCAGACCTATAAGAAGACAGTTATATCAGGCTCCTGTCAGCATGCACTTCCTGACATCCAAATCAGTGTCTACCTTATGTGACTGCACATGGGATTGATACCCAGGTGGAATGGTCTATAGACTCCCCCTCCTTCAGGTTCTATCCCACACTTTGTATCCATAATTGCTCCTTTGATTATTTTGTTACTCCTTCTAAGAAAGAAACTTGGTCTTCGTTCTTCATGAGCTTCATGTGGTCTGTGAGTTGAATCTTGGGTATTACAAGCTTCTGGGCTAATATCCAATAATCAATTAGTGAACACCATGTGTGTTCTTATATGATTGGGTTACCTCACTCAGGATGATATTTTCTAGTTCCAACTATTTACTTAAGAATTTCTCAAAATCATTGTTTTTTGATTAATATTGTTTTGAATTAATATTGTTTTGAATAATCATTTTTTGAGTAATATTCCATTGTATAAATGTACCACATTTTTTGTATCCATTCCTCTGCTGAAGGACATCTGGGTTCTTTCCAGCTTCTGGCTATTATAAATAAGGCTCCTATGAACATAGTGGAGTATATGTCCTTATTATATGCCCAGGAGTGGTATAGCTGCATCCACAGGTAATGCTATGTCCAATTTTCTGAGGAACCGCCAGACTGATTTCCAGAGTGGTTGTGCTATTTTGAAATCCCACAAACAATGGAGGAGTGTTCCTCTTTCTCCACATCCTCACCAGCATCTACTATCACCTGAGTTTTTGATCTTAGCCATTCTGACTCCTGTGAGGTGGAATCTCAGGGTTGTTTTGATTTGCATTTCCATGATGACTAAGGTTACTGAACATTTCTTTAGATGCTTCTCAGACTTTCGAGTTTCCTCAGTTGAGAATTCTTTGTTTAGCTCTGTACCTCATTTTTATAGGGTTGTTTGGTTTTCTGGAGTCTAATTTCTTGAGTTCTTTGAATATATTGGAAATTAGCCCTCTATCAGATGTAGGATTGGTAAAGATCTTTTCCCAATCTGTTGGTTGCCATTTTGTCCTATTGACAGTGTCCTTTGTGTTTCAGAATCTTTGCAATTTTATGAGGTCCCATTTGTCAATTTGTGATCATAGAGCATAAGTAATTGGTGTTCTGTTCAGGATCTTTTTCCCTGTGCCCAAGTACTTGAGGTTCTTCTCCACCTTCTCTTCTATTAGTTTCAAAGTATCTGGTTTTATTTGAAGATCCTTTATCCACTTGCACTTGAGCTTTGTACAAGTTGAAAAGATGGATCAATTTGCATTCTTCTACATGATGTCCTCCAGTTGAATCACCACCAGTTGTTTAGCTCCTTTGTCAAAGATCAAGTGACCATAGGTATGTGGGTTCATTTCTGGGACTTCAGTTCCACTCCATTGATCTTCCTGCCTGTCTCTGTACCAATAGCATGCCGTTTTTATCACTATTGCTCTGTAGTACAGCTTGAGGTCAGGGATGGCGATTCCTCCAGAAGTTCTTTTATTGTTGAGAATAGTTTTCGATATCCTGGGGTTTTGGTAATTCCAAATGAATTTGAGAATTTCTCTTTGTAACTATGTGAAGAATTGAGTTGGGATTTTAATGGAAATGGCATTGAATCTGTAGATTTCTTTCACCAAGATGGACATTTTTACTATATTAATCCTGCCAATCCATGAACATGGGAGATCTTTCCATCTTCTGAGGTCTTCTTCAATTTCTTTCTTCAGAGACTTGAAGTTCTTGTCATATAAATCTTTCACTTACTTGGTTTGTGTTCTCTTAGTGTCTGTGTGATATCACTCCAAGATCTTCTGGCTTTTCTAGTCTCTGATGAGAAGTCTGATGTAATTCTTATAGATCTGTCTTTTTCCTTTACTGCTTTTAGTATTTTTTGTTTTGTGCATTTGATATTTTGATTAGTATGTAAAGGGAGGTGTTTCTTTTCTGGTCTAGTCTATTTGGAGTTCTGTAGTCTTCTTGTATGTTCATGGACAACTCTTTTTTTAGGTTAGGGAAATTTTCCTGTATAATTTTGTTGAAGATATTTACTGGCCCTTTAATTTGGGAATCTTTACTTTCATCTATATAATACCTATTATCCTTAGGTTTGGTCTTCTCATTGTGTCCTAGATTTTGCTGGGTTAGGAGTTTTTTGCATTTTGCATTTTCTTTGACATTTGTGTCAATGTTTTCTATGGTATCTTCTGCACATGATATTCTCTCTTCTATCTCTTATATTCTGTTGGTGATGCTTGCATCTATGATTCCTGGTTTCTTTCCTAGGTTTTCTATCTCCAGAGTAGTCTCCCTTTGAGATTTCTTTATTGTTTCTTCTTCCATTTTTAGATCTTGTATGGTTTTGTTTACTTCCTTCACATGTTTGGTTGTGTTTGCTTGCATTTCTTTAAGGGATTTTTTGTGTTTTCTCTTTAAGGGCTTCTACTTGTTTGCCTGTGTTCTCCTGTATTTCATTAAGGGAGTTGTTTATGTCCTTTTTAAAGTCCTCTATCATCCTCATGAGAAGTGATTTTAAATCTGAATCCTGCTTTTCTGATGTGATGAGGTGTCCAAGGCTTGCTATGGAAGGAGAACTGGGTTATGATAATGCCAGGTAGCTTTGTTTTCTTTTGCTTATATTCTTGCATTTGCCTTTCGCCATCTGGTTTACTCTAGTGCTACGTGCACTCACTGTCTCTGCCTGGAGACTGTCTTTCCAGTTATCTTGCTTGTGTCAGGACTCCTCAGAATCCAGATGTCTCTGTGATCCTGTGATCCTGAGCTCCTGGGTGGAAGAGTTCCCGGGACTCAGGCTGCCTCTGGGATCCTGAAATCCTGCTGTGCTAAGTGCAGTTGTTCCTAGCTGCTCCGTGTGTCATGGCTCTCTCACTGCTCTAAGATGGTGTCTTCACAGGAGCAGACATGCTAGGTGTCTGCCCCAGCTAAGAGGACCAAACAAGGGGTGGTAGGGTAGTGGTATTATGGAGGGGTGGAGTTTGGGTGGATTGCAGCTCTGGGGCTTAGGGTTGTGGGGGAGGGTTCTTACCTGCTGCTCTAGAAAGGTTCAGGATATGGTGTCTTCATGGGAGCAGATCTTCTAGGTGTCTGCCCCAGCCAAAAGGACCAAGAGAGGGGTGGAAAAGGAGTGGTTTTCCTGGAGGATCGATGTTTAGGTGGGTGATGGGTCTAGAGTGCCTGAGGCTCCCAGTTAAAGTTCTGGGGCATAGGGTTGTGGGGGGAGGGTTCTTACCAGCTGCTC